CTCCTCACCCCTGTGATCCTCCTCACCCCTGTGATCCCCCTCACCCCTGTGATCCCCCTCACCCCTGGGATCCCCCCCACCCCTGTGATCCTCCTCACCCCTGTGATCCCCCTCACCCCTGTGATCCTCCTCACCCCTGTGATCCCCCACACCCCTGTGATCCCCCTCACCCCTGTGATCCCCCACACCCCTGTGATCCCCCTCACCCCTGTGATCCCCCACACCCCTGTGTATGCCCCTCACCCCTGTGATCCCCCTCACCCCTGTGATCCTCCTCACCCCTGTGATCCCCGACACCCCTGTGATCCCCCTCACCCCTGTGATCCCCCTCACCCCTGTGATCCCCCTCACCCCTGTGATCCCCCACACCCCTGTGATCCCCCTCACCCCTGTGTATCCATCCCCCTCACCCCTGTGATCCCCCCACCCCTGTGATCCCCCACACCCCTGTGATCCTCCTCACCCCTGTGATCCTCCTCACCCCTGTGATCCCCGACACCCCTGTGATCCCCCTCACCCCTGTGATCCCCTCACCCCTGTGTATGCCCCTCACCCCTGTGATCCCCCTCACCCCTGTGTATGCCCCTCACCCCTGTGTATCCATCCCCCTCACCCCTGTGATCCCCCTCACCCCTGTGTATGCCTCTCACCCCTGTGATCCCCCACACCCCTGTGATCCCCCACACCCCTGTGATCCCCCACACCCCTGTGATCCTCCTCACCCCTGTGATCCCCCACACCTCTGTGATCCCCCACACCCCTGTGTATGCCCCTCACCCCTGTGATCCCCCTCACCCCTGTGATCCTCCTCACCCCTGTGATCCCCGACACCCCTGTGATCCCCCTCACCCCTGTGTATGCCCCTCACCCCTGTGATCCCCCTCACCCCTGTGTATGCCCCTCACCCCTGTGATCCCCCTCACCCCTGTGATCCCCCTCACCCCTGTGTATGCCCCTCACCCCTGTGATCCCCCTCACCCCTGTGTATGCCCCATCACCCCTGTGTATCCATCCCCCTCACCCCTGTGATCCCCCTCACCCCTGTGTATGCCTCTCACCCCTGTGATCCCCCTCACCCCTGTGTATCCATCCCCCTCACCCCTGTGATCCCCCTCACCCCTGTGATCCCCCTCACCCCTGTGATCCCCCTCACCCCTGTGTATCCCCCTCCTGGGTGTCGCCTCCCTCGGCTGCGCGCCCAGCAGGTGCTTCCCGCAGTGGCCACTCCCCTGCTTCCTGCAGACAGACGCTCAGCATCCAGCCAGCCCCGCCCCCCCCTTGTCCCCCTGTGAACGCAGAGCGAGGCTGGCCCAGATTCCTCTCGATGCCGCTCGTGTTCAAGCCTGGGAGTGCTTCTCTCACCAGCATGTTGTTGAAGTGTTTTTAAAATTGGTCTCATTTTATATGGTTATGTTTTTAGGGTGTTTAAACATGTTATAACTTCAGCCATGCACATGACATAAGATAAAGAGGGAGGGCCTCGCCCAGGCCTGCTCCCTGAGAACAGCTAGGCACAACCTCCCAGGTGTTTCCTCCATGCATTCTGTTGTCATTCTCTCCCTGATTCTCTCTCCTCCCCTCCCCTCCTCCCGGGTTCCCTTCCATCTTCTCCTTTCTTCATTCCCTCTTCCATCCCTCCCTGCCTCTCTTCCTCTTTCCCACCTTTTTTCTCTCTTTAGGTTAGAGCTGAGAAAAAAAACATCCTGAAACTTTAACATTCCAGGATGGATAGAAAATCCATAGGTCTTATAGAAATGAAAGAATTCAAACAGGCACTTAAAATAGGTTTTTACAATGTTTAAATTTACTTTTTTAGTGTGCAAAAAAACACATGCAATTTACCAGTTAGCCATCTTTATGCATTTATTTTTATTGATTTTTTTACAGAGAGGAAGGGAGAGGGATAGAGAGTTAGAAGCATTGATGAGAGAGAATCATCGACCAGCTGCCTCCTGCACACCACCTATTGTGGATGTGTCCACAACCAAGGTACATGCCCTTGATCGGAATCTAACCCGGGACCTTTCAGTCCGCAGGCCGACGCTCTATCCACTGGGCTAAACCGGTCAGGGCCAGTTAGCCATCTTTAAGAGTGCGGCTCAGTGGTGGTAAGTTCGCGAGCAGTGCTAATAAACAGCTCCAGGACGTTTTCATCTTGCAGATCTGAAACCCTGTACCCATTAAACCCAACTCCCACTCCCCCTGCCCCTCAGCCGCGAGCCATCCCTCTACTTTCTTTTTCTCTGAACTTGACGACTTCAGTACCTCTTGTAAGTGGAGTCATACAGTACCTGTCTTTTTGTGACTGGCTTATTTCATTTAGCATAATATCCTCAAGGTGCCTCTGTGTTAAAAGTGTCTTATATATACAAAAACAGATGCTTACTGTGTTAAAGAAAAAAAAAGAAAGCAAGCACGGGAAGCCTTTAAGAAAGAGCAAAGTCCCACCTCCCCCTGGGGAATCATGTGCTTCATTGCATCACCTCCAGACGCCACGGACTGGATCATCAGAGAACACGTGCCAAGAAAAAACCTCGAGGAATGGATGTCACACACGTGACTCTGCATGTTTCGAATTGTTGGTTGACGTCACCAACTTGCTTTCCCCAGAGGTGGTGCCGTGGTGCTCAGCCATGGGCAGCTTTGGCGAGGGCCTTTGGATCCACTTTGGAGGCAGACCCTCTGGCCCAGCACCCTGCCCCTCCACAGAGGGGGAAACTGAGGTCCCAGGGCGAAAGGCTCTTGTCTGATGTCACAGGTGGCAGACCTGGGACAGACCCAAGCCTCCTGGTGTCTAGGCTGCTGCTGTTGCTAAGAAACTGCCCGCCAAAAATGGTGTCTCTCTCTCTCTCTCTCTCTCTCTCTCTCTCTCTCTCTCTCTCTCTCTCTCTCTCTTTCTGTCTCTCTCATTTCTCTCCCTCTCTCTCTCCCCAAATCCTAAGTGTCGCCCACCCCACTACCTGGGGCTGCTGCTTTCAAGGTTGTGGTGTGTCTAGAGTCAATCCCCGAGTCCCAAGCTCCATGGTCCCGGTTCCAATACATTTGTGAGCATCTACTATGTGTCAGTCCCGTGGGTAAACATTCCGTTCCACCTGGGAACTCGGGCAGCAAGCTGGTTTGCAGCGGACTCACTGTCCTCCGTGCTTGAGGATTGGCAGACATGGCCCAGTCCCGTGTTCTCTCTGCCCAGCGCCTGGCTCGTTCTGGGCGCTGTTACTCTCAGGGCCATCCGTCCCGGCCCCCCACCCGCATCAGCACTCTGAATGGCCCGCATCCTCCTTGGGAGCTGCTGGCAGGGCTGGGTCTTCAATAATCTTCCCAACCCCTGGCTGGAGAGGGCTCTGTGGATGGCCTTTGGGGTCCCAGAGGCCTTCCTGGAGCCCCTTCCAGAAAGGGAGGCGGTCCGAGGAGGGGCCGGGACTGATGTGGCCAGCCAAGCCCCAGAACCCACGCCTCAGCCCTCCCCTCCCTGCTCTGGCCGCTCCCTGACGCCAATTTGCTGCGGGATTTTGTGCAAAGAGCCACGCCTCCCCGGGCCTCAGTTTCCCCGGCTGTCACACGGGCAGCCTAGTGCCACCCCCTGGAGGGTGTGGACACGGCGGAGGTCACAGGGAGTGGAAACCCCGGGAACAGCTCTGTGCGGGGAGTGCGCTCCGTGCGCGGAGCGCAGGGTGCAGGGCTCCCATGGGGCTCCGCTCCATGGGGCTCCCCTCCATGGGGCTCCCCTCCATCCGGGCCCCCCTCCATCGGGGCTCCCCTTCATGGGGCTCCCCTCCATGGGGCTCCCCTCCATCCGGGCCTCCCTCCATCGGGGCTCCCCTCCATGGGGCTCCCCTCCATGGGGCTCCCCTCCCATCGGGGCTCCGCTCCCATCGGGGCCCCCCTCCATCCGGGCTCCCCTCCCATCGGGCTCCCCTCCATCGGGCCCCCCTCCATGGGGCTCCCCTCCATCGGGGCTCCCCTCCATCGGGGCTCCGCTCCCATCCGGGCTCCCCTCCATGGGGCTCCCCTCCATGGGGCTCCGCTCCATCGGGGCTCCGCTCCCATCCGGGCTCCCCTCCATGGGGCTCCCCTCCATGGGGCTCCCCTCCCATCGGGGCTCCCCTCCATGGGGCTCCCCTCCCATCGGGGCTCCCCTCCATCGGGCCCCCCTCCATGGGGCTCCCCTCCATGGGGCTCCGCTCCCATCGGGCTCCCCTCCATGGGGCTCCCCTCCATCGGGGCTCCCCTCCATCGGGGCTCCCCTCCATCCGGGCTCCCCTCCATGGGGCTCCGCTCCATCGGGGCTCCGCTCCCATCCGGGCTCCCCTCCATGGGGCTCCCCTCCATGGGGCTCCCCTCCCATCGGGGCTCCCCTCCATGGGGCTCCCCTCCCATCGGGGCTCCCCTCCATGGGGCTCCCCTCCATGGGGCTCCGCTCCCATCGGGGCTCCCCTCCATGGGGCTCCCCTCCATGGGGCCCCCCTCCATCGGGACCCCCCTCCATCGGGACCCCCCTCCATGGGGCCCCCCTCCATGGGGCTCCCCTCCATCGGGCCCCCCTCCATGGGGCTCCCCTCCATGGGGCTCCGCTCCCATCGGGCTCCCCTCCATGGGGCTCCCCTCCATCGGGGCTCCCCTCCATGGGGCTCCCCTCCCATCGGGGCTCCCCTCCATGGGGCTCCCCTCCCATCGGGGCTCCCCTCCATGGGGCTCCCCTCCCATCGGGGCTCCCCTCCATGGGGCTCCCCCCCCACCGGGCTCCCCTCCATGGGGCTCCCCTCCATCGGGGCTCCCCTCCATCCGGGCTCCCCTCCATCCGGGCTCCCCTCCATCGGGGCTCCGCTCCATGGGGCTCCCGTCCATCCGGGCTCCCCTCCATGGGGCTCCCCTCCATGGGGCTCCCCTCCGTGGGGCTCCCTCCGTCCAGCCCGCTCCCTCCCGCTCCCCCTCCCGCGCGGAGCGGCTCCCGGCATGCCGCGCGCTGACAGCCTTATAAATAGGCGCCTGTGCGGGCGGCGGCGGCGAGGACGGGCAGGGCACGCACCGCCCCGGCGCCCCCCGCACCCGCACCCGCACCCGCACCCAGGTCAGTGGGCGCCCGTGTGTGTGTCTGTGTCTGCGCGGGGGGAGCCGCCGCGGGGAGCGGGCGGCGCAGGCACCGGGGTGCGCCTGGCGGCGCCGGGGTGTCCTGGGGGCTTGGGGGCTCCGTGTGTGCCCCCCGCTGTGCCCTGTGCCCTGTGCCCTGTGCCGCCTGCCCGGCTGCATGCCCGGACTCTGCGCTGGGGGGTGCGAGCTTCTGTGTGTGTGTGTGTGTGTGTGTGTGTGTGTGTGTGTGTGTGTGTGTGTGTCAGACAGTCACCCTTTGTGCAGCCCGCACCCCTGGGGCTCCAGGCTCCGTCCTTGGCGTGTCCCCGCTGGGGCCCGGGAGGGGGGCTGTGACCTGACTCCCCGCCCCCAGGGCCTGGGAGGGGCGGCCTGTGCGATTGGTGGAGCTGTCCTGTCCCGGCTCTGGGAGTGCCGGGCACAGGAGGCCCGGAGGCTGGCCCCTGCCTGAGCCTCGGAGAGGGCAGGGGCCTGGGGGAGCCCGGAGGCAGCACAGGAACCGTCCTGCTGAGCTACCCGCTCAGGGCTCCTCAGGCGCTGGGACAGGGCCTGGAGGCAGGCCCGGAGAGGGACACCGCTGCCCAAGGTCACACAGCCAGGGCTGGGGCTGGGAGTGAGCCCTCGTTGGTTGCCAGCCACCAGCAAGGCTGCTCTTGGCCAGGAGACGGGAGACCTTGGTCTCGCCCTGGACCTGCCTTGGGATGGAGGTCAAGTCTCTGCCCCTCCGGCCCCGGCTCCCCAGACCCCGTGGCCGGCCACCCGGTTACAGACGGAGTCCCTGCGGCCCTGACCCAGGGGCCCCTGAGACCGGGTGCTGAGCCCGTAACCCAACTCCGTCCCGGACCCCTGGCCTCCAGGGGCCTCCTCACGGCCCAGGCTATTTTGGACCAAGAGGTGGCAGGTTCCAGCAGGACAGTGGGGCTTAGGTTACTGGCAGGGGCGGGGCAGGAGGGGCCATGCAGGCTGTTCCCGGCTCGGGACCCCCTCCCCCACCCGCTGCTGGGCAGTGCTGGCACGCGCCCCCCACAGGTGGCTGCTTAAGGACCTACTGGGTGCCAGGCCCGGAGCGGCAGGAAATGCAGGCCTGGGCGGGAACCTGGCCAGGCCCTGGAGCAGTCTGTCTTCTCCAAGCCTCAGTTCCCTCCCAAGAGGGCCCTGAGGACGGAGTGAGGCCCCCGGCCCCTGACCAGCCCGGCCGGGCCCAGGCTGGTGGGAAGCACAGGCCTCACTACAACACAGAGGCCCAGTACTGCGTGGTGTGTGGTGTGTGGTGTGGTGTGTGGTGTGTGTGGTGTGTGGTGTGTGTGGTGTGTGGTGTGGTGTGTGGTGTGTGTGGTGTGTGTGTGTGGTGTGTGTGGTGTGTGGTGTGTGGTGTAGTGTGTGTGTGTGTGGTGTGTGTGTGGTGTGTGGTGTGTGGGTGTGTGGTGTGTGGTGTGTGTTGTGTGTGGTGTTGTGGTGTGGTGTGTGTGTGTGTGTGGTGTGTGTTGTGTGTGGTGTGTGTGTGGTGTGTGTGGTGTGTGGTGTGTGGTGTGTGGTGTGTGTGTGGTGTGTGGGTGTTGTGTGGTGGTGTGTGTGTTGGTGTGTGGTGTGTGGTGTGTAGTGTGTGTGGTGTGTGGTGTGTGTGTGTGTGTGTGTGTGGTGTGTGGTGTGTGGTGTGTGTGTGTGTGGGTGTGTGTGGGTGTGTGGTGTGTGTGTGGTGTGGTGTGTGTTGGGTGGTGGTGTGTGGTGTGTGGTGTGTGGTGTGTGTGTGTTTGTGGTGTGTTGTGGTGTGTGGGGTGTTGTGGTGTGGTTGTGTGGTGTGGTGTGGTGGGTGTGTGGTGTGTGGTGTGTGGTGTTGTGTGGTGTGTGTGGTGTGGTGTGTGTGTGTGGTGTTGTGGTGGTGGTGTGTGGTGTGTGGTGTGTGGTGGTTTGTGGTGTGTGGTGTGTGTGGGGTGTGGTGGTGTGTGGTGTGTGTGGGTGTGTGGTGTGTGTGGTGGTGGTGTGTTGTGTGGTGTGGTGTGGGGTGTGTGGTGTGTGGTGTGTGTGTGGTGGTGTGTGGTGTGTGTGTGGTGTGTGGTCGGCTGTGGTGTGGTGTGTGTGGTGTGGGTGTGGGTGGTGTGGTGTGTGGTGTGTGGTGTGTGGGTGTGTGTGGTGTGTGTGGTGTGTGTGTGTGGTGTGTGTGTTGCTGTGTGCGGTGTGTTGTGGTGTGTGGTGGTTGTGTGTGTGGGTGTGTGTGTGTGTGTCTGCGTGAGTGCGTGTGTGTGTGGTGGGTGGTGTGTGGTGTGTGTGGTGGTGTGTGGTGTGTTGGGTGGTGTGTGGTGTGGTGTGTGTGGTGTGTGGTGTGTGTGGTGTGTGGTGTGATGTGTGGTGTGTGGTGTAGTGTGTGGTGTGTGGGTGGTGTGTGGTGTGTGTGGTGTGGTGTGTGGTGTAGTGTGTGGTGTGTGGTGTGGTGTGTGGTGTGTGTGGTGTGGTGTGTGGTGTAGTGTGTGGTGTGTGGTGTGGTGTGTGGTGTAGTGTGTGGTGTGTGGTGTGTGATGCCAGGGAAGTTCAGAGGAGGTGCCTGTCAGTGTAGGAGTGGAGGGTAGAGTCCAGGAAGGCTTCCTGAAGGAGGTGACACCTGAAGAGAGTCCTAAACATTAACACGTATCCCCGCAGCGTGAGCTGGGCCTGGAGGGGGGCACGGCCATGGTGGGGGAGGGAGCTCGGGTTAAGCAGCAGCTGATAAAGTCGCAGAGGTTGGGGGCAGGGGTGGGGGGGCTTTATCTTGGGAGCTGAGTGACCGCACAGGGAAGGGTCGTAAGCAGAGTGAGTGGTCTTTGGCTGGTGGGCGTGGAGGTTGGTGTGGCCCCTGCTTGGAGCAGGGGTGGCGGGAGGACAGATCAGAGAGAGGTCCAGGAGCAAGGGGGAGGGCCGTGCTTACGGGCGACGGGGGAGGGGGAGGGAGGGCTTCTCGCTGGGACACAGGCGGCTGTCAGCTGGCAGGGTGTCCGAAGCTGGGCTGGCTGGGCAGGATGGAGGGTCCCGGGGCCCTGGAGCCAGTAGTGAGAGGGGAGAGTGGGGGTCAGAGGTGAGGTCCCAGCCAGGAGGAACGAGGCCAAGGGCCCAGAGTCAAAGGTCAAGGCAAGGTGGCTGAGATGGTGCAGGCGGCCTTGGGGAGGGTGGCGTGTGAGACCACAGGGGCACGGGCAGCGTTCCTGCGGAGACGGTGGGAGGGGCGGCTGAGGGGGGCCCCTGGGCTGTGGAGGCAGCGTGGGGTCCCGGAGGGGTTGGGGTTGATTCCATGCAGGGGGAAAGAGGGCAATGGAGCGAGGTCCTCCAGGGGTGGTGAGGGGGCAGGGGCCACATGGGGGGGGGGGAGGGCGGGAACCCCTCATTGGAAAACTGCAGGGCTGTTTCTATGTGAACCAGCTTCCTCCCTGCAGACTTCCGTGTCCCTCTGAGCATCCTCTTCCGAACCCCAGTGGAGGGGAGGACCGGCAGCTCCGTCCCTCCTCCCCTCCCTCCGCCCGGGGAGTGTCGTCAAGGTGCCGGCCGCCGGACCGCCCTGCTTCCGGGACCTGGGAGGGAGAGCAGCTCCAGTCAGTCAGGGGCGGGTGGGGCGGGCAGTCGAGGGCTTTCCCAAGGCCAGCCGCCTCCCGGGCCTGCTGCCCCAGCGGCCCTCCTGGGCGGCAGGGCCTGGCACACCTGTGCTGTGCTCACCGCCGGCGCCTTGCCTTGCAGAGCGCTGACCCCACGCCCCGGACCTCGGCAGGATGGAAGGTACGGAGCCTCCTCTCTCCTGCTCTCTGCCTGGGGTCCGGGTGCCCACCTGCGAAGGGGTGTGCGTAGGGAGACGCCTCGGGAGGGGCTGCTCGATGGGGCCTGCCCGGGAGCTCCCACACCCGCCCCAGGCCTCTCGGGGGACGTGCCAGCTTCAGGGTTAATTTTAGAAGCAACGGGGCCTCCTGGGCTGAGGACCCCACAGCTCACGCTGCGCTGGGGTTTGTAGCGCTGAGTCCCTGCGTCTCTGGAGAGGGCGGGCCCTGGCGGGGGGCTGGGGGGTGGATGAGAGGCCCCAGGGGTGCAAGGGCCCCCTCAGTGATGGAGTTCCCCCTGTCCGGGGGTGGCCTTGGGCCCTCCAGGCTCCTGTGGGCCCGCCTGGAAGGAGTCACGGGCAGAGAGCCAGCGGCCTGCCTCCTGGCAGCACCACCGTCCCATCCCTGGCACTGAGCCTGGGCCTGGGCAGTTCTTAAAGGAGCCTGGCCGGCCTGGCTGCGGCCGCCTGGAACCAGTGGCCACCCTTCCACCCCTGGGGCTCTGAGCGTCCCTGCCACTGGGCTGTGCCTTCCCCCCCACCCCACACCCAGGCTGTGCCCATCACACCGGGCCGGAAGCCGGGAAGCCGAGAGAAGTCCTGACAGCTCCCCTGGCCCTCGGCCCGGAGGCCCTGGGGGCTTTGAGCTCACCTCCTCCTTGGACGGGGGAAGGGGGGGGTGAAACGGGGGACCAGAAAGGGGCGGGACCTCTTCCCTCCAGCCTCGCCTCGTCTCCCCCGCCCCCCCCTGCAGCGAAGGGAAGGCAGCAGCTGGGAAGGGGCCGGCTTCCAGTTCGCCTTCTGGCAGCGTGCCCTGCCTCTCCAGGCCTCAGTTTCCCCTGTGGGCAGGGCTGTGGCGCTGCTGAGCCCTCAGGGTGGCGAGGCAGAGGCTGAGATGGAAGCTGGCCGCCCTCTCCGGGCAGGGGTTCCATGTGCCCACCACAGCCTCCTCCCCGGCAACTGTCTCCCGGGCAACATATGTTGTGGTTGCCAGCTCCACACTGGGACCGCCCGGGGAAGGCGGGCGATGGGCAGGCCCAGGGCCGGGGCGGGGAAGGGCAGGGACACGGCAGAACGGGACCATGGGTGCCTGCTGCTCCTCGAAAAAAACCCGCAGCCAGGAGGACTCCAAGGCCAGAGGTGACCGCGGCTGCCCCCCAGCCTCCCAGTCTGACGGCCCACCCTGTGGCCTCCAGGCCTTCGCCCCTGTGGTCCCTCCGCCCGGCCGCCCTCTGTCCCCGACCTGTCCGGTCCCTGAGCTTCCCTCGCCGCCAGCACCCCCTCTGGCTGGGACGGTCTGCCTCCCGCCATGGGAGGCGCACGTGCCTGAGCCCTGCCCCTCTGTCCCACAGAGAAGCTGAAGAAAACCAAGATCATCTTCGTGGTGGGTGAGTCCGGGCGGGGGGCTGGCACCCGCGGGGGGCTCGGTGGGAGCCGGGCGGGGAGGCGCCCGGGCTCTGCCCTCCTTCGCTGGGTGACTGCGTCTCAGGGCTCTGAACGGGCGGGCGCTTGCAGGCGGGCCTGGCTCGGGGAAGGGCACCCAGTGTGAGAAGATCGTCCAGAAGTACGGCTACACCCACCTGTCCACCGGGGACCTCCTGCGGGCCGAGGTCAGCTCGGGCTCGGCCAGGGGCAAGATGCTGTCGGAGATCATGGAGAAGGGGCAGCTGGTGCCGCTGGTGAGTGGGCCCCGTGGGGGGGGTGGGGTGAGGGTGGCCCTGGGTGGACGCCAGCCGGCACAGCCCGTGCCACACGGCAGGCGGGCCAGGTCCTTCCCTGGCTTCGACCCCGTCTGTGGCCCATGCCCATTGTCCTGCGGACCCCCCCCTTCACCTCCCGGGCCTTTCTGTCCCCGCAAACCCACAGACTCCTTCCTCCTCAGCTCTCAGGCCTTCTGGGTCATCAGCTTTGGGCTAAGGCCCCCTCCCCCTAACTTATTCTCCTGTAGCCCTTCCTTGGCCCACACAGCCGGGGTCAGCCTGGAGGTTGATACCCTGTTTCCCCGAAAACAAGACAGAGTCTTATATTAATTTTTTCTCCCAAAGTTGCGTGCGCTAGGTCTTATTTTCGGAGGATGTCTTGTTTTCGGGGAAACACGGGTAATTCGGTTTCCTGAGGGCAGGGAAGGCCTGCTTTCCACCGCTGTGTCCCCTGGGCCCAGCTGAACGCCATCGGCCCCCGGCTCAGAGGCCTGGGCTGGTTTGGGAGAGTGCACAGGGCAGCTCAGCTGTGGGGCAGCGCACACCAGGGCGGGGGGACACGTGGGGCTCACGGCCCCCCCTGCTTGTGCTGTGCCCGCAGGAGACCGTGCTGGATATGCTCCGAGACGCCATGATGGCCGTGGTGGAAACTTCCAAAGGCTTCCTGATCGATGGCTACCCGCGGGAGGTGCAGCAGGGGGAGGAGTTTGAGCGGAGGGTAAGGCACAGCCTGGTGGACGGCCTTCAGGAGCTGTGACAGGGGCCGTCCGGCCGAGGCTGCTGTGATGTGGGGGGAGGAAGGGGGGTTGTGGCTGATGGGAGGTGGGGAAGGAGGGAGCCAGGGAAGAACGTTCTGGGATTCTTTCTAGAAGTCCAGAAGGAGAATTCTAGAACAACGGGAAGCACCAGGCTGAGGAGGCCAGGCTCAGGTTCCAGCCCACCTGCTGCGGGCCTTGGGCTGCCATTCTGCCTCTCTGAACCTCAGTGTTCCCATCTGCAAAGTGGGGATGGGCAGGGCACAGCTGCCGTGTGGGGCAGCATGAGGGTTAGAGGGAATGCACTCTGCAGTGTGGGGCTTGGCACCTGTGAGCACAGGGTCGGAGGGGCAGGGAACAGCACGGACAGGCTGGAAGGGCCAGGCTCGTGCAGAGAGAACAGAGCTGTTGGAGAGGGGAACTGGGGTGATGTGGGAGAGGGAGGCTCAGGCTGGCTGGAGGCTTCGGATGCCCGGGAGGAGAGTCCAGTCTCCTTCCAGGGGCCAGCGGGCATCTGGCTGGAGAGAGCGGGCCATTAAGGGGACATGGGGGTTCAGGGGGGGGGGCTTCTTGGCAGAGGACTCCTTCCAGGCCTCGCAAGGAGGACTGGCATCCCAGTGGGCTGGACCAGACCTTCACCCCCACTCCCCGACTCTGAGGGACAGGGGCCTTAGGCTTCCATAGCTTGAGCCACACCCAGGGGCGGGATATTGTGTTTCCTGCCCTCTAACTGGCTGCAAGACCTCAGGGAAGTGTCTACCCTGACCTGGGCCTCAGTCTCCCTATCTGTGAAATGGGGGTTGGCTGGGCTTCCTTCAAAGACTGGGAGGCCATGGGCCGAGGCACCAGCAGTGTGATGGCACCTCTGGCCCTCAGAGCCACATCTAGAAACTGGGGTTCGTGCGAGTTCTGTCCCCCCTGGGGCTGTTGTGGGTGTTGGCGTGGGCGCCTGGCTCTGCACGGGGCCCGGCACCTGGTGTGTGTTTTTAACTCAGGCCACCAGGGGGCGCCAGGCCCTTACCCACGGAGGATGGTCAGCCTCCTTGCCCTTCCCAGTCTTCCTGGCGATGAAACCCGCATTCCAGTGACAGTGACATTGTTCAGAGCCTCCCAGGGCTTAGGTGCCCCTCACCCCCTCCCTCAGCCCTGGCTCCTCCGTCCAGTCCTTATCCAGGCCTGCGGGCCTCAGGCCAGGCCGGGAGAGGGATGTGAGGTAAATAACCAGAGGCACCGAAACCGGTTTGGCTCAGTGGATGGAGCGTCAGCCTGCGGACCGAGGGGTCCCGGGTTCGATTCCGGTCAAGGGCATGTACATTGGTTGCGGGCACGTCCCGGTGGTGTGTGTGCAGGAGGCAGCTGGTCGATGTTTCTCTCGCATCGATGTTTCTAACTCTCTATCCCTCTCCCTTCCTCTCTGTAAAAAATCAATAAAATATATATTTAAAAAAAAAATAACCAGAGGCCCTCGAGGGCCAAAGGAAGGCCTGGGAGAGCAGGTCCCAGGGGGTGGGCGTGGCATCAGGGAGCCTACGCCAGAGGAATGCGGTTTTAGGTGGAATCTGAAGGTGAGCACTCGGCCCCGAGGGAAAAGGCTCCGGGGGAGGGAAAAGGCCCATGAGGAGGAGACTCGGTCAGCGTGGCTGACGCAGGAGAGCAGAGGAGTGAGCAGCGCGCGCTGAGGAGGGGACAGGGCCCAGGCACAGGCCCTCCAGGCGGGGGAAGGACTTGTGTTTCCTCCCGAGGGCACTGGGGAGCCATGGGAGGTGTGAGCAGGGGACGGGCGGGGCAGACTGGTCAGGAAGGCCTGTGGGGCTGCCGGGAATGTCCGAGTGGATCTCGGGGGCCGCAGAAGTGGGAGGATGGGAAGGGGGTGGCTTCGGGTGGGCAGGAAGGGGCCCCGTGACCGGTGCCCTGCCCGCAGATCGGACAGCCCACGCTGCTGCTGTACGTGGACGCAGGCGCCGAGACCATGACCAAGCGGCTCCTCAAGCGGGGAGAGACCAGCGGCCGCGTGGACGACAACGAGGAGACCATCAAGAAGCGGCTGGACACCTACTACAAGGCCACCGAGCCCGTCATCACCTTCTATGAGAAGCGCGGCATCGTGCGCAAGGTGCGCCCCCTGCGGGCCGAGGGGGGCCAGGACACCTGTTTTTTGTTTTAATTTTTCTCCTGGGTCGGCCTCAGATTGCTGTGACCTTGGGCGAGCCGTCCTGCCTGGGCCTTGGCTTCCCCGCCGGTTTGGGGGGGCTCTGCCCGCTGTGGCTGGCCTCCGGGCCCAGGCCTGGCCTCGGGGTGGGGCCTGCCACGACGGGGTCCGCCCAGCCCAGGGCGTCTCCGCTCACCACCCGTCTCCCCGCAGGTCAACGCCGAAGGCTCCGTGGACAGCGTCTTCGCCCAGGTCTGCACCCACCTGGATGCCCTCAAGTAGCAACACCGCCCGCGGGAGCCCCTCCCCAGCTCGGAGCCCGGCCCCACCCTGTCCCGACTCCGGAGCCCTGGCCTGCGCTCAGCGCCTCCGCCCGCCCGCCCGGCCGGGGCACAGACAGAGGAAGCCACCTTATCCTGTTTTCACGGACAGCTGAGCACTAAAGGAATTTCCGAGGACATTCGGCTTTACTCCTTTTTCTTCGCTTCCATCGGGGTTGATTTGTGTCGGAGGGCCGCCCGGCCTTGAGTCCCCAGCCCCTCGGTTCCCCGCCCCGAACCCCCCTCAGCCGGCCGCCCCTCCCGGCTCTGGTGGGAGGCCCAGGAGCTGCCTTATTCAGGGCCGGGCTGGGCCAGGCCTGGGACCCAGCATGCCCGGGGCAGGGTCCTGGTGGTCAGGCAGAGCTGGGCCGGCCTGGTGTCTGCACCCTCGCTGCGCGGCCGTGGCCCTGACCCCTCACCTCTCTGAGCCTGTTTTCCATGCCTGACTCCTGCTGGGGAACGAGCTCTCGCATGCAGCCAGGCCATGGGCTGTGGGGTCTTCCTGGGCAGTGGGGGTGGGGGTGGGGGAAGGGGCTCCCTGGCCTGTGGTGGCACAGAGTGGCCGGCCGAGTGGGCGGTGAGTTGCGAGCTGGCCCTGAGGGTCACGGTCGCCAGCGCCTCCCGGAGGAGGTGAGCTCTGAGGGCCTCCCCCCTGTGGCCCCGGGCAGGTCACAGCCTGTCCTTTCTCAGCTGCTTCAAGGTTCAAATCAGGCTCAGTGCCCGCCCCTGCCCGCCCCCAGCCCCCAGCCCCCAGGTCAGGGAGGGAACACACTGAGCCAAGGGTGTAGATTGGTGACCCAGCTGTGGGCGCTGAGCCTGGGGCAGCCTCGGGGACGGGCCAGGCCTGGTGCTATGGGGAGAAGCGTCTTCCCTTCCTGTCCTCTCGCTCTGACCTGGTCTGGCGAGCAGCTCCATCGGTGCTCACGGCCTCGCTCCGGCCCGGCCCGGAGGCTCCCGAGAGCCGAGTGAGGCGGCGGGCGGCACAGCTGCGGCTGTTCCCCGTTCACACCAGTTATTTACAGTTTCCTTTGAAATAAACGTATTCAAGTTGTAAAAGGTGGGTCTATTGAAAGAAGAACACGGAATACATAAATGGTGATCGAGGGGAGAGAGAAGGCAGGCAGCATGCAGGGTGGGCAGCCAGTCTGGGTGGGGCGGGGGGTGGGGGCTCCCGGCAGCCGCTCTCTGTTCCCCACGCCGGCCCGGGGGTGCGGGGGAGCCCCCACTGGGTGACCTCCCACCTGGGGGTCCATGTCACGTCTGTCAAACTGGGCCCACACCCCCACAGGCACACACACGCACACACACACACACACATGCTCCCACTCATACGCACCTGCCCTTCATCCCGGGCTGTCTGAGGACAAGCCGGGCCAGAGATTGTAACGAGCCAGGGAAATCCACTGTCAACATCATCATCAACAGAATCACCTGGTTCACTTAAAAAAGGCCTGGGAATGGGGGGGGGGGATGTTAAAATATGTACACAGATAATAATTTAATTTTAAAAAAAGAAAGGTTAAAAAAAAAAAAAAAAAGGCCAGGGAAACTTAAAGAAAACAAACAGTTTTACAAGCTCCAGTCACCATTCCCCAGGCGTGGCCGAACCTTCCTCGGAGGGTCTCCTTCGATGTGGCACCTGCCAGGCGGGGCGCTGCTATGGCTCTGGCACGGGAGGGACCGTGCTGGCTGGTGCTGTCAGACCGCCCGCCGGAGGCCAGCTCTGGGCGGCTCCGCACGCACAGCTCCGAGGGGCCCTGGCAGCAGGTTCCTTGACCTGGAGCTCCGGGGCGGGGGGGCCCTCCTGGTGCCCAGGAGTTCACTTCGCCACGTGGCTGAGGGCGTGGGAGGGCAGAGGGCACGGCCTGCGGAGCTGCAGAGGGTGAGAGGACCCTGAGTGAGGGGCGGGCTGAGGCGTTAGCGGGGCCTGGAAGGCAGGCCAGAGGGGGTCCTAGCTGGAGCAAGCTCGGCGGGTGACAGAAGCCACGCTGGCAGGGCCTTGATGCCAGCCCAGGTATCTAGCCTTTCCCCAGAGGGCAATGGGAGGCTCAGAAAGGTTTGTTTTTTAATAAATCTTTTCAAACAAAATGTGAGGAACTAATGTACTGAACACCCATATGCCATCACCAGCATTTAGTAGTGGTTAACATTTCCCCCCTACTTCCTTCACGGCTGGTTTATTGTTGTCCCAGGATTTTAAAGTAAGTCACAGAGTCCCAGGAAAACAGTTCGCCCCGAGCGTGGGGCTTCAGCGTGACTAACACAGAGGGCACTTTGCTCTACAACCACAACTCGGTTTCGATGACACTGAGTGACACTGATAGCATAGGTGGTCGTCAGTCCCCGTGTAATCCCTCCGAGTGTGTCCTTGGGAAAACCGGGCGGCAATCCAGGGCGCCACCTGCAGCGGGGCCGTCCGTCAGCCTTTAACCTCTGGCCCGCCCCCTCTTTGTATGACATTGACCTGTGAGGGGCCGCCGTGCCCCCGAGAATTCCTCCTCCCAGGCGTGTCCGAGCTTCCTGGTGGTGCTGCTGGACTCGTTCCTCCGTTCCCCGCGTTTCCTGTGCCTGAGGTCAGTGCACGGGCTTCGGAGGTTCAGGGTCAGCCTCTGGGACGAGAATACCGAAAAGGCGGAGCTCACACAGGGTTTTATTTATTTATTTATTTAAAAAATATATTTTATTGATTTTTTACAGAGAGGAAGGGAGAGGGTTAGAGAGTTAGAAACATCGATGAGCCGAAACCGGTTTGGCTCAGTGGATAGAGCGTCGGTCTGCGGACTGAAGGGTCCCGGGTTCGATTCCGGTCAGGGGCATGTACATTGGTTGTGGGCACATCCCCAGTGGGGGGTGTGCAGGAGGCAGCTGGTCGATGTTTCTCTCTCATCGACGTTTCTTGCTCTCTATCTCTCTCCTTTCCTCTCTGTAAAAAAATCAATAAAATATATTTAAAAAAAAAGAAAAAAAGAAAGAAACATCGATGAGAGAGAATCATCAATCAGCTGCTCCCTGCACAACCCCTCCTGGGGATGTGCCCTCAACCAAGGTACATGCCCTTGACTGGAATCGAACCTGGGACCCTTCAGTCCGCAGGCCGACGCTCTATCCACTGAGCCACACCAGTCAGGGCATCACAAAGGGTTTGAACACCAGGCGGGACGGGCAGATGGGCAGCTTCTGGCTTTCATTGCACAGGAATCTCCCAGGGCCTGGTGACAAAGCTGCTTCGGAGGCCGCGGGTGAGTTTGGGTGGTGAGGCCGGGCCGGGCTGCTGGTCCGAGGCCCACACTGGGCAGCTCAGCTCCGAGCGGCGGGGGCGGGCGAGGGGAGGAAGGGTGTGGAGGAGGGGGCACCGCTAAGGTCAGCGTGTGCTCATCCCCTACTGGTGGGCCGAGGGGTGGGCGTGGTGTCGGATCCGGGACAGCCGATGCCGTCATAGCCTGCGTGTCTCCAGCAGCACGCCAGGAAACGGTCCCAAGGTGCCGGAACATTCTAGCCCACAGAGGGATGGCCTAGCGCCTCGGTAACCTCAGGGTCTGGGGGAGAGAGTGCGTGCTCCTCCGTAGGCCCTCTGGGGTGGTGGCCTCAGATGCCCCCACTGGACTGCGCCCCTCAGGCTCGGCCCCCGGGGCCCTGAGGCCTGGCCGGAGGCGCTGAAGTGGGAGAGGAAGGAAGCGGGAGCAGAAGAGGCCAAGGCTGTCGCCTCCCAGCCTCCAGAGGGGCCTCGAGTAAACAGGAAGGCCTGGCGGCTCCTCGGTGGGGGCTTCGAGGGCGGGGCAGAGCCTCCGGACTGCAGGGCCTGCAGCAAGGAGCGCCTGCGGGGCAGCAGACAGAGAGGCCGTGGGCTCGGCCCCGTCACACAGCGCCTCGCTGCCTCTCCTCTGCCCGCCTCCTGGGTCCCGGTGTGCGGTCTCCTGCCCGTGTTGCCCCCCACGATTCAGAGGGTGCTGGACGGGTCTCCCCTTTGGGGGCCTCAGTTTCCCTTCTTAATGAACTCAGAGCCCTGACAACTGGCTCAGAGTTTCGAGACTCCTGGCCTAGTGGCATTCTCCTGCCTTCGCAGTGGCTGCAGGGCCCTCAGGCCGGGGGTGGGCTGGCCAGGCAGGCCCCATCCCAGGGGCAGCCTCTGGGGAGAGAGCGGACACTGCAGGGCTTGGCTCCTCGGGCACAGAGTCTGCTGGGACCACTGACTCCTGGGAGCTCCCCATTCTTTTGGGGAGCCGTTCCCCCTCTTCAGAGACCCTGTCCCTGGGCTCGGAGGCCCCCAACACCCACACCTGGGGACTCAGAACCACAGCCTATGTCACCTCCAGCTGTGCAGCCCAGTGGTTAGCCGTTCATTTATTGCCTAAACATATGGAATACCTACCAGGGGCCAGGCACTATTCCAGGCAATGGGCCTTTGGAACAAGAGAGGAGGGACAGAGAGAGAGGGAGAGGGAGAGGGAGAGGGAATAAACAATATGTAACATGTGAGAGGGTGGAGGAGGGAGAGGGCTATTTAAAATTCCATGTTCAGCCAAAGCCGGTTTGGCTCAGTGGATAGAGCATCGGCCTGTGGACTGAGGGGTCCCGGGTTCAATTCAAGGGCATGTACCTTGGTTCTGGACGCATCCCCAGTAGAGGGTGTGCAGGAGGCAGCTGATCGATGTTTCCCTCTCGTTGATGTTTCTAACTCTCTATCCCTCTCCCTTCCTCTCTGTGAAAAATCAATGGGATATATTTTTTTTAAAATAAAAAATAAAGAAAGTTCCGTGTCCAGGGAAGCCCTCACTGACCATGTGACATAAAGGGTGAGGAGCAGGCCCCGTGGCTTGGCGGGCGGGCGGGGGTCCAGCAGAGGGCGAGGCTGGTGAAGGGAGCGGGAGCCTGGCTTTCATGCCGAGATGCCTGCCTGCACGGGGCGCTGAGCAGAGAAGGGATGGGATTCAGGGGGGCAGCCCACAGAATTTGCTTGGGGCTCAGATGCGGGGTGTGCGAGGAAGAGTCAGGTCACCTCCTCCTCAGGGCTGGAGCGATGGGAGGAGGGAGCTGTCAGTGTCCGAGATGAGCGGCCGAGGCTGGAGCGGCTGGCGGAGAGGGAGCAGAGCCCAGAGCCCAGGTTCGGGCCCAGGAGCCGGGGCCGGGCGAGTCCTGGCGGGAACTTCGTGTCGGGAACACAGTCGGGAGCTGTCAGTGCATTAGGGGAGTGGACGCCGCTGGGCTGAGGCACCCAGAGCAGTGTTCCTCGGGCAGACATTGATGTAGCACCCAGCCGTGGAGACTGGGTGAGGGGCAGAGTGTGGGCGCGAGGCCCGGGCAGGGCCGGAGAGAAGGTGCCGGGACACACTTTGAATGCCACCATCTCAGGCGTGGCACTGCCCGGTAGGACCTGCGGGTGGGGTGAACCCCACAGAGGGGTCTGAGCTCCATATTTAAAAAATATATATATATATTTTATTGTTTTTTACAGAGAGGAAGGGAGAGGGATAGAGAGAAACAAAGATGAGAATCATCGATCAGCTGCCTCTTGCAGGCCCCCTACTGGGGATGTGCCCGCAATCAAGGTACGGGCCCTTGACCGGAATTGAACCTGGGACCCTTCAGTCCGCAGGCTGACTCTCTATCCACTGAGCCAAACCGGTTTCGGCCTGTGCTTCAGATCGAAAGAAGGTGGAGCGGGACGGGTGCATGTCACAGGGTGTCCATCGGCTCACAAACCCTGTTTCGGTTACTGAGCCTGAGTCCTGGGCCCTCGGTGTTGTCATGGCTGCCAAGGTTTGGGAAAACCTGACGTAGGGGTGAAGGTAGCAGAGTCGGGGGAGACCCAGGAGCCAAGCATGAGAGGAAGAGGAGGAACCCGTGAGGAGGCAAGTAAGGCAGCCGGGAGGTGGAAGGAAGGGAAACCAGGACGGAATGTTCTAGAGGCCAAAGGAGGAAAGAGACCTCGGTTTTAGGGATCCTCTGCTTCTCCACAGCCCTGTTGCCATGCACACCTGAGCCTCAGTTTCCTCCCCTGTGAAGTGGGGACCTGACAGTCTCAGCTCGTCGAGGTGGCTGCGAGGTGGCACTTGGCATGGGGCCGGGCAAGCGTGGGCATAGAGGGGGGACGCCCGTCCTGGTCCCGGCCCCGCAGGCTGCTCTCCCATTGTGCAGATGGAGAAACTGAGGCCCAGGCTGCGAGAGGTCGTGCCTGAGGCCACGCAGGGCAGAGCCGGACACCCTGACTCCCCGCCGACGCTCCTTCCTCCTCCCCCGCCGCCTGCCTGCCCGCCCGTGGGGGCCTGACCCCCAGGTGCTCTCAGCCTGGCTCCCGGCCGGCGCTGGAGCCGGACAGCCGCCTGGGGGGCCCCTGGGGGCCGCCTGACATTCCTCCCGTGGCCGGGGGCCAGGGTGGACGTGCTCCGTCCCTTCCTGCAGCCCCGGCCTTCCTGCTGGCGGGGGGAGGAAGAGGCCAGTGAGCGCACCTGCCCGCGCTGGGGTCGGGGCCGGGCCTGGCCACCGGCCACACGTCTCCCTGGCGTGAGGCGTCTGCCTCGGCGGGACCCGGCAGGAAGCAGCTGGCACGCTCCGCGGGGACCGGGGGGGCTGGTGTGGGGTCTGTTTTCGCAGGTGCGGGCAGGGGCTGGGAGCCACAGGCCTCTGCGGAGGGGCCATGGCGTGCTCAGCTGCAGGGGCCGCGTGGAGAGGGCTGGTCGGGGCCATGGCCTTCGGCTGCAGGGAAGGAGCCAGAGGAAGGAGTCCTCCCCTCCTCTCCCTCCTCCCTCTCTGGTCCGTGCAGGGCGAGGGGGCCGGGAGAAGGGGATGTGTCCGTCTGCAGAGAGGGTGCATCGGGCTGGGACCCTCCTCAGGGTCTGTCCCCAACTGTGAGACCGAGTGACCATCAAGCCTTCTGGCGACGGGCGGTCCAGTCTGGGAGCTGGCCCCTTCTCTGGGGAACGGGAGCCAGGCCCAGTGCTCCGTGCCTCAGTTTCCCTAGGCCTCCATGGGCCCAGCGCCTGCATTCGAGAACTGTATCTGGAGGGTCAAAGGGTCCTGGGCTCTGTGCTGGGGACTCAGTTCTTCAGAGGCATCCAAAGGGAGAGACTCACATAACAGGACCCCACCCAGGCCGGGGTGGTGTGGGAGGCCTCCGCTCCGCCCGGGGACCCCCATCTCCTCCTCCCTCCCCGGGGTCCTGGGGGCAGGCCCAGGCTCTCCTGGCTCCTGTAGATGTTCTCCCCCCGGCCGTTTCCTACCCGTCCGTGGCCATGTCCGTCTGCAGCCTCTCCTCCTCATGCAGACCCACTGGGCCTCGTTCACAGCGGGGGAGGGAGGGGGGGAGGGCTGCACAGGGTGGGGGAGGGCTGCACAGGGTGGGGGAGGGCTGCACAGGGTGGGGGAGGGCTGCACAGGGTGGGGGTGGGCTGCACAGGGTGGGGGAGGGCTGCACAGGGTGGGGGTGGGCTGCACAGGGTGGGGGAGGGCTGCACAGGGTGGGGGTGGGCTGCACAGGGTGGGGGTGGGCTGCACAGGGTGGGGGAGGGCTGCACAGGGTGGGGGTGGGCTGCACAGGTGGGGGAGGGCCGCACAGGCTGCACAGGGTGGGGGTGGGCTGCACAGGGTGGGGGAGGGTTACACAGGCTGCACAGGGTGGGGGTGGGCTGCACAGGGTGGGGGAGGGCTGCACAGGGTGGGGGTGGGCTGCACAGGTGGGGGAGGGTTGCACAGGCTGCACAGGGTGGGGGTGGGCTGCACAGGGTGGGGGAGGGCTGCACAGGCTGCACAGGGTGGGGGTGGGCTGCACAGGGTGGGGGAGGGCTGCACAGGGTGGGGGTGGGCTGCACAGGTGGGGGAGGGTTGCACAGGCTGCACAGGGTGGGGGTGGGCTGCACAGGGTGGGGGAGGGCTGCACAGGGTGGGGGTGGGCTGCACAGGTGGGGGAGGGTTGCACAGGCTGCACAGGGTGGGGGTGGGCTGCACAGGGTGGGGGAGGGCTGCACAGGCTGCACAGGGTGGGGGTGGGCTGCACAGGGTGGGGGAGGGCTGCACAGGGTGGGGGTGGGCTGCACAGGGTGGGGGTGGGCTGCACAGGGTGCAGGGAAGCGGGAGGGCGGGAGGAGGGAATCAGGCTTCCTCTGGGATCCCTGCTTCCACCCAGGTGCCCTGACTCCCACTCTGGACAACCATCCCCCTCGCCCTGTGACGCCCCCAGCCCTGGAGCCTCTGTCCTCACCGTCAGCTCAGGGGGTGGTGGCAGAGAAGGGGTGAGCCTGGAGGGGACAGCCCTGGGGTCTCTACTCTCCGCCCCGGGGCCCCTCGCTTTCCCGGGAGGGAGCCGTGGGTTCCTGCCCGGTGAATGGCTCAGTGGCCGGGCCCCGGGGCGCAGTGAGGACTCAGCGCTGATAAGGTGAACGCCTAGGGCGGGCCTGGTGCGGGGGAGCGTCCAGCCCCTGGGGCTGTTAACTGTCCCCGGTCTGGAGCCTGGGGACACCTCCCAGCCGCCCTGTGGTCCCCCTTTCCTTGTGGGAGCCCCTCGCGCTCTGCACCCACAGCGAAGGGCTGAGGACCTGCTGCCTGCAGCGGACGCCCTCACCCCTGCAGCCTTCCCTGCCTGCTGGGCACGGCTGGATCCCGGGTCTCCTGTGACCAGGAGCTAGCCGGGCGGCTGCAGGGCTGGGCGAGCTGGTCTTCCCAACTCCAGCCCGAGGAGCCACACCCGCCTTCCCTGCCTGTGCCAGCTCCTAGGGGGGCAGCACGCTCCGCCCGCTCCCTCCTGAGGCCCCGGGCCTCCTGCCTGCGCCCCTCCTGGCCCTGGAATTCGCCATCGATCAGGACAGGTATAGAGAGAAGGACGCCTGCCAGCTCACACACATCAAGGTTTATTTCCTCAAAGCCCAGCCGACCAGCACCTTCAGCTCCGTCCGTCACCCTCCGTGACCCCCTGTGGCCTCTCAGGACAAAGTCCTGGCATTCAAGGCCCCCTCCCACAGCAGGCCAGAGTGTGCCCCTCAAGGCTTCCCGTCCCCACCACACCCCTGCGTGTCCTCCTCACCCCTTTCTGCCCCCCCCCCCCCCCGTCTTTTAAAGGCCGGGCCTCCGTGCCTCCTCCTCCAGGCAGCCCAGGCCGCCTCCTCTGAGCTCCTTTGGGCCTGACCCTAGGTGCTCCCCATACCGAGCACCACGACGGGCACAGAGTTGGCACCTACTGTTTGCAGAACGAACAAGGGACAGTGCTGGGCCTGTCCCCTAGGCTCAAGGAGCACCGCCAAGGAGCACTTCCTGTGTGCCCGGCCCGGGGCTCAGCGACAGAGTGCCTCAGCCTCTGGAAATCTCACACCAGTCTGGCGAGGAAGGCACTGCCGTGCCCACTTCACAGGCAGGGTGACTGGGGCGTAGGGGACTCGTCAGGGTCTCAGCTCCGGGTCAGCAGGGCAGGTTCTGAACCCAGGGCCATCATCAGAGTGTGTTCTTTCCTTGGGGGCTGCCTCTGGTCTCCGGCGGGCTTTCCGCCCTGGCTCTCTGGGCAGGTCCCCGTTGTCTTAAGCCCCTGTCCCAGCTGCCGTGCCATGCCCTGGGCCTGCTGGGCCCGATTCCCGCCGGAAAAACAAGGGAATGACAGCCGCTGTCACTGGACCAGTTCAGCCAGCTTTGGTGCCCGAGGAGATCCCAGCTCCCTGGGCTCTCCGGGCTGTTATCGCACTTCTCTAGAGCAGGTCGAGACCGGTTTCCTCATCTGCGAAATGGGAGCGCTGCCCTCACAGCAATGAGCTCCATCTGGAGCGCCTCTGAGGGGCCTGTCTGCTGAGCTCCCTGGGGGCTATCAGGGTGATTGTTTCCATCTGCCCCGGGCTGCCGGCCAGCCCAGGACCGGTGGATGGGAGGGTGGGGTGCTGGGGAGACAAGCCCCGAGCCTAGGCCCTCCCACCCCCACGGCCTCCCCCCTCCCCAGGGCCCCCCACCCAGCGACAAAGCTCAGTGGCACTTCCTCTCCCGCCTGGCAGGCCGCCTGGCCCGGCCCCTTCGCTAAGGAAGCGCATTTCCTGCCGCCCTGGGCTGGCTGGATGAGCCAGGAGCTCCCCTCCGCCACCGGCCAGACCCCAGCCTCCACCCGCCGTCCACGGGAGCCCCGCGGCCCCCTCCCACGCGCCCCTCGGCCCGCGCGCCCCCGGCCGGCCCCGCGCCCCGCGCCCGCTTCTCCTGACCAGCTCGGCCGCCACCCCAGAAGGCTGGAGCAGGGACGCAGCCGCTCCGGCCGCCTGCTCCCTCCGGGTCCCCGCCTGAGCCCACGCCGGCCCCTGCTCCTGCCCGCGGCCCGGCCCCTGGACACCGGATAAGGCCCCGCGCACGGCCCCCCGGCGGACGGCATGGCCCGCAGCACGCTCCCCCCGGCCCCGGCCCCGGCCCCGGCCCTGGCCCTGGCCCTGCTGCTGGCCGCCTGCAGCCTCAGCCCTGCAGGTAGGTGCGGGGACCCGGGGGGGAGGCCACGCTCCGGGCAGTGGAGCTGGCCCGGGGGTTGGACGGCATAAGCAGGCGCTGTGGGTGACCACCCCGCCCGGCGTGGCAGGAGCGGTAACTTCCAGCCCGAGTCTCGGGCAAACGGAGGTGCGTTCTGTACGGTACCCCGGCCCCCGGCCTCCGGCCTCCCCGCAGGAAGCCCCCGGGGTCGCCTGCCCGCCCCGGGCCTTACGCCCCCTCAGAGGCCGCGTGGTGGGGAGGCAGAGGCCTCACGTGTGGCCCGGGCTCTGGGCTGTGGTTAGTTCCTTGTGGTGTGATCTTGGGGAACTACCCCGGCCTCTGACACAGTGAGGATGGTGACGGACTCCCGGCTGCGGGGAGGTCCGTTGGGGCAACGCCTGCGGTGAGGTCTCAGGGCTGGCTGCTCCCTGCGGTTACTATTGCCGTTGTTCTATGATTAGCCTCAGGCCCTCCGCCCTCGCCTTTCCCAGGGCCCCTGAGCCCCCCACCCACCCCTTCTGAGTGGAGGGCTCTCCCGGCCACTGCCCCTGCTCTGCTTCCCCAGATGAGGGCTTCTGGGGGAATCCTTGGCCCGGGGGCTTTTCTAGGCGGTCCTGACCTCAGCTGCCTTAAACTGACCAGGTGAGGGGCGGTGCGGAGTGTGCACCCACTTACTGTGGACACCCCGTCAGCCACTCCCCGGCATTTCAGAGCCCCCAGTCTTTGGTCGCTAAAGTTCTTATCCTGCCCTGGCTGGCATGGCTCAGTTGGTTGGGCCTTTGTCCCAAGCACGGAGGGTCATGGGTTCGATTCCTAGTCAGGGCACCTGCCCAGGTTGCGGGTTCCATGCCCAGTCTCGGTGCCTATGGGAGGCAACTAATCAATCTCTCTCTCTCCCCCCCCTTCCTCTCTGCCTCCCTCCTTTTTCTCTCTCTCTAAAATTAAGAAACATCGTCCTAACCAGTTTGGCTCAGTGGATAGAGCGTCGGCCTGCGGACTCAAGGGTCCCAGGCTCGATTCCGGTCAAGGGCATGTGCCTTGGTTGTGGGCACGTCCCCAATAGGGACTGTGCAAGAGGCAGCTGGTCGATGTTTCTAACTCTCTATCCCTCTCCCTTCCTCTCTGTAAAAAATCAATTAAAAAATATATTTTTTATTTTTATTTTTCCCCTCAAGTTTTATTTTAATTCTAAAATATATATTTATATTTTTTAAATTAAGAAACATCTCCTCGGGGGAGCATTCACGTTCTGACCGCTGCCTCCCTGAGAGCCCGAGCCGGAGCCTCAGACGCTCTCGCGGTGACTGAGCAGGGATTTGACCCCAGGCCTGTGGCTCCGCGGGCCTCTTGCTCCTCACCAGGGGGTACAGCTCCCGGTCACCCTGCAAGACGGCCGCCATTATGGCCCCATTTCCCAGGACGCGACACGGAGGCTGAGGCCCACCACGCTCACACAGCTGGGCAGCATCCTGCTTGGGCGCCTCTCTCCCCGCAGCCCCCACATTCCTGGCCGCATGACATTCTCTTCTCTCTTCTCTCGTCAGCAGAGGAAGACCCTGCAGATCCTTGGGGCCGGGTGTTCTAGCATCAAAGGCAGCGGTGTGATGGCAAACAATTAGCAGGGAGGAGGGGGAGGGCCGGCGCTTGTTAATTTCCGTGGCATCCATTTTCCCACGTGGCTGGTCTCCAGCTACCAGCTCCCCAAGCGCAGAGCCGGGCCGAGGTGCCCAGGAGACACCCTTATCTCGTGCTTCCATCACACGCGACTGACACAGATAACCTCCAACGCACAGATAATAGCGAGGCGGAGAAAATAATTAGGAAGTAAGACATTTGACATGCAGTGCCTTTTAAAAAAACACAATGCATTTCATTGTAAGCTTATAAAATTTTAATTTTAATAATGTTTGACAGCCTGTTGGAAAATTTCTTGCGAGCAGGTGCTGGCACCTAGTGGCCCCAGGGTCCCAGGGTGTTTCAAACCATCCAGCCCAACTCATGGTCTGGGAATCTGAGGCCCATGGAGGGCAGATGGGGGTCTGGCCAAGGCATGGAGGGTGACCTCACGTATTCCCGTTCAGGCCTGAGGGGGTGCAAATGGGTCCGAACCAGGTCCAGCCTTCTGGGGACACAGCTGGGCAGGATTAACTTGTAATAACCCAGCCTTCAGAGCCCAGTCCTAGAGAGTTACCTGCCCAGCTCTAGAAAGATGTCCAGTGCCCTGGCAGCTTAACCAAAACTGGAGTCTGCCCACATGTCCATCAGCCTGGGCCGCATTAACTGAATTGTCACGCAGTGGGACAGCATGCAGCCGTCGTCAAGAAGAAGCTAGATCTGCCGAAACCGGTTTGGCTCAGCGGTAGAGCGTCGGTCTGTGGACTGAAAGGTCCCAGGTTCGATTCCAGTCAGGGGCATGTACGTTGGTTGCAGGCACATCCCCGGTGGGGGGTGTGCAGGAGGCAGCTGGTCGATGTTTCTAGCTCTCTATCCCTCTCCCTTCCTCTCTTTAAAAAATCAATAAAATATATTTTTTTTTAAAAAAGAAGAAGAAGAAGCTAGATCTGTGTCTCCACTGCTGGGGACAGGTATCTGGGACGGACTGTCAGGTGCCCAGACGGCAATGATTCGTTTCCGTAAGAACAAGACCGCACTAACGCACAATATGCATAGAGAACCCTGAGGTGCCTGTGATATTTGCTAGGGTTTTCACCTTCCTGAGACACGTGCTTCTGTTAATGTTGGAATGTTTTGTTTTGTTTTGCTTGTTAATCCCCATCCGAGGATATTTTTCCATTGAATTTTAGAGAGATGGGAGGGAGGGGAGAGACGGAGAGAGAAACACATCAATTGGTTGCCTCCTGCACATGCCCTGAGCGGGCCGAGGCCCAAGCCTGCCATCCTGCAACCCAGGCACATAATGTTGATGGAATGGAACCCAGAACCCTTTAGTCTGTGGGCCGATACTCTATCCACTGAGCCAAAACGACTAGTGCTGGATGGATTTTTTTTTTTTTTTTTTAAAGAACAAACATGTAGAGATTTTAAAAAGCAACTTAACTATATATTCACTTCCATTTGCTTCTCAAAGGAAATAGATAAATGTTAGCATGCTGGTCGCTTACTAGTTTTCCTCTGTGTACCCTTCCTATGACCCAGATGTTTCTATGTTGTCATGTGGACACCATCACCATCCTGTTGTGTTCTGGAATATTCTCTCCCTTAAATGTGCTTTCCATCGTTGACCTAATAAATTCCCTATTGTTGAATATCTAGGTGATTTCCCCTTTGGGGCTAATTATAAATACCACCTCCGTGCACATTTTTGGTACATGCACATTTTCCTGTATTTTGTAATATTTCACTTGGACAGAGTCCCAGAAGTGAGGGTTGGGATTGGTGGCCCATGTAGGGTGGCCGGGATCAAAGCGTGTTTTCTAAGTGCGGATGAGTGTTCACTGGGGGACAGGCCAGAGGCTGGACTTGGAGGCCCCATGTGGGGGTCTGGGACTCTCTGGAGAGGGGACTAGTGGCTCAAGACCGAGGCCACAAATATCCATGTCTTAGAGGCTGCATTCTGTGGCAGCTCCCCTTTTTGTTTCTTTCTTTATATTATTATTATTTAATCCTCGCCTGAGAAGTTTGTTTGATTTTAGAGAGGGAGGAAAGAAGAGAGAGAGAGAGAAATAACATCGATGTGAGAGAGAAACATTGATAGGTTGCCTCCTGTACAGGTGTGGATAGGGATCAAACCTGCAACCTGGGTTTGTGCCCTGAGTGGGAATCGAACCTGTGACCCTTTGGTGCACAAGACGATGCTCCAGCCAATGGAGCAACTCTGGCCAGGGTAGGCAATTTTCCTCTTGCTAGGAGAAAAGGAGGTTGGAACAGGAGTGTGAGGCAGGAGAAATTAGGTCCTGGAGCCAGTGGGGACAGGCCATTAAGACTCTCTCGCCGAAACTGGTTTGGCTCAGTGGACAGAGCATCAGCCTGCGGACTGAGAGGTCCCAGGTTCGATTCCAGTCAAGGGCATGTACCTTGATTGTGGGCACATTCCCACTAAGGGGTGTGTGGGAGGCAGCTGGTCGATGATTCTCTCTCATCGATGTTTCTAACTATCCCTCTCCCTTCCTCTCTGTGAAAAATCAATAAAATATATATATATATATATATATATATATATATATATATATATATATATTTTTTTTTTTTTAATTATTTTTTTTTAAATACTCTCTCACCTCAGCCAGACAGATGGTAACACTAAAATCCAGAGGGAATAAGAGACCCATCTCTCAAGCTCACAGCTGGGTCAGTGCTGGGCCCTCTGAGGACAGGCCTGGTCTATTTGCTCAGGTGCCTGAGGGGCAATCTGGGCAAGGTGGGGGGAGCATTTTCTTTTCTTTTCTTTTTTTTTTCTTTTCTTTACATTTTTTTATTAAATTATTATCTGTGTACATATTTTAACACTGCTCCCCCCCATACATACCCGGGAGGGAACCATTATTTATGTCTACAGGCAGCTTTGTCTCCAGATTCAGTCTACAGACGAGGACATTGGAGCTCAGGACAAGTGACAGGTCCAGATTTTTTTTTCTTGGTTCTAATATATTTTTATTGATTTCAAGGAGGAAGGGAGAGGGAGAGAGAGAGATAGAAACATCAATGATGAGAGAGAATCATTGGTCGGCTGCCTCCTGCACACCCTCTACTGGGGATCAAGCCCACAACCCAGGTGCCCTTGACCAGGACCAAACCGGGGACCCTTCAGTCTGCAGTCAGACACTCTGTCTGCGGAGCCAAACCGGCTTATGGCGACAGGTCTAGATTTCAACCCCAGACTGTCTGCTTCCACAGCTTCCTTTCTCTGCATCTTTTTGTTTTGTTCTGTTTTTCTCTGCACCTGTGGTGGCCTGGTGTGGGGGCCTGGAGAGCGGATTGCCCTGACTCTGGGCCCTCTCCTCCAAGCTCCAGCCCCGGCACTGGGCATGCACCCTGCAGGC